ATCACATTTATCATCAGCAGCATGGCATTCATCATCAGCAGCATCACATTCATCATCAGCAGCATCACTTTCACCATCATCAGCATCACATTAATCATCAGCAGCATCGCTTTCACCATCAGCAGCTTCACATTCATCATCAGCAGCATGGCATTCATCATCAGCAGCATCACATTCATCATCAGCAGCATCACATTCATTATCATCAGCATCGCATTCATCATCAGCAGCATCACATTCACCATCAGCAGCATCAAATTAATCATCAGCAGCATCACATTCATCATCAGCAGCATCGCATTCATCATCAGCAGCATCACATTCATCATCAGCAGCATCACTTTCATCATCAGCACTATCGCTTTCATCATCAGCAGCATCAATTTATCATCAGCAGCATCACATTAATCATCAGCAGCATCACATTAATCATCAGCAGCATCACATTAATCAACAGCAGCATCACATTCATCAACAGCAGCATCACATTCATCATCAGCAGCATCACATTCATCATCAGCAGCATCAATTCATCATCAGCAGCATCACATTCATCATCAGCAGGATCGCTTTCATCATCAGCAGCATTACTTTCATCATCAGCAGCATCACATTCATCATCAGCAGCATCACATTAATCATCAGCAGCATCACATTAATCATCAGCAGCATCACATTCATCATCAGCAGCATCACATTCATCATCAGCAGCATCACATTCATCATCAGCAGCAACACATTCATCGTCAGCAGCAACACATTCATCGTCAGCAGCATCACATTCATCATCAGCAGCATCACATTCATCATCAGCAGCATGGCATTCATCATCAGCAGCATCACATTCATCATCAGCAGCATCGCTTTCACCATCAGCAGCTTCACATTCATCATCAGCAGCATCACATTCATCATCAGCAGCAACACATTCATCGTCAGCAGCATCACATTCATCATCAGCAGCATCACATTCATCATCAGCAGCATGGCATTCATCATCAGCAGCATCACATTCATCATCAGCAGCATCGCTTTCACCATCAGCAGCTTCACATTCATCATCAGCAGCATCACATTCATCATCAGCAGCCTCACCTCAATCATCAGCAGCATCACATTAACCATCAGCAGCATCACATTAATCATCAGCAGCATCACATTAATCATCAGCAGCATCACATTAATCATCAGCAGCATCGCTTTCACCATCAGCAGCATCACATTCATCATCAGCAGCATGGCATTCATCATCAGCAGCATCACATTCACCATCAGCAGCATCACATTCATCATCAGCAGCATCACATTCATCATCAGCAGCATCAACATTCATCATCAGCAGCATCGCATTCATCATCAGCAGCATCACATTCATCATCAGCAGCATCACATTAATCATCAGCAGCATCACATTCATCATCAGCAGCATCACATTCATCATCAGCAGCATCACATTCATCATCAGCAGCATCACATTCATCATCAGCAGCAACACATTCATCATCAGCAGCAACACATTCATCATCAGCAGCATCACATTCATCATCAGCAGCATCACATTCATCATCAGCAGCATGGCATTCATCATCAGCAGCATCACATTCATCATCAGCAGCATCGCTTTCACCATCAGCAGCATCACATTAATCATCAGCAGCATCGCTTTCACCATCAGCAGCATCACATTCATCATCAGCAGCATGGCATTCATCATCAGCAGCATCACATTCATCATCAACAGCATCACATTCATCATCATCAGCATCGCATTCATCATCAGCAGCATCACATTCACCATCAGCAGCATCACATTAATCATCAGCAGCATCACATTCATCATCAGCAGCATCACATTCATCATCAGCAGCATCGCATTCATCATCAGCAGCATCACATTCATCATCAGCAGCGACACATTCATCGTCAGCAGCATCACATTCATCATCAGCAGCATCACATTCATCATCAGCAGCATCACATTAATCATCAGCAGCATCACATTCATCATCAGCAGCATCACATTCATCATCAGCAGCATCACATTCATCATCAGCAGCAACACATTCATCATCAGCAGCATCACATTCATCATCAGCAGCATCACATGTTTCATCAGCAGCATGGCATTCATCATCAGCAGCATCACATTCATCATCAGCAGCATCACTTTCACCATCATCAGCATCACATTAATCATCAGCAGCATCGCTTTCACCATCAGCAGCTTCACATTCATCATCAGCAGCATGGCATTCATCATCAGCAGCATCACATTCATCATCAGCAGCATCACATTCATCATCAGCAGCAACACATTCATCGTCAGCAGCATCACATTCATCATCAGCAGCATCACATTCATCATCAGCAGCATGGCATTCATCATCAGCAGCATCACATTCATCATCAGCAGCATCACATTCATCATCAGCAGCAACACATTCATCGTCAGCAGCATCACATTCATCATCAGCAGCATCACATTCATCATCAGCAGCATGGCATTCATCATCAGCAGCATCACATTCATCATCAGCAGCATCGCTTTCACCATCAGCAGCTTCACATTCATCATCAGCAGCATCACATTCATCATCAGCAGCATCACATTAATCATCAGCAGCATCACATTAATCATCAGCAGCATCACATTAATCATCAGCAGCATCACATTAATCATCAGCAGCATCACATTAATCATCAGCAGCATCGCTTTCACCATCAGCAGCATCACATTCATCATCAGCAGCATGGCATTCATCATCAGCAGCATCACATTCACCATCAGCAGCATCACATTAATCATCAGCAGCATCACATTCATCATCAGCAGCATCACATTCATCATCAGCAGCATCGCATTCATCATCAGCAGCATCACATTCATCATCAGCAGCATCACATTAATCATCAGCAGCATGACATTCATCATCAGCAGCATCACATTCATCATCAGCAGCATCACATTCATCATCAGCAGCATCACATTCATCATCAGCAGCAACACATTCATCATCAGCAGCAACACATTCATCATCAGCAGCATCACATTCATCATCAGCAGCATCACATTCATCATCAGCAGCATGGCATTCATCATCAGCAGCATCACATTCATCATCAGCAGCATCGCTTTCACCATCAGCAGCATCACATTAATCATCAGCAGCATCGCTTTCACCATCAGCAGCATCACATTCATCATCAGCAGCATGGCATTCATCATCAGCAGCATCACATTCATCATCAACAGCATCACATTCATCATCATCAGCATCGCATTCATCATCAGCAGCATCACATTCACCATCAGCAGCATCACATTAATCATCAGCAGCATCACATTCATCATCAGCAGCATCACATTCATCATCAGCAGCATCGCATTCATCATCAGCAGCATCACATTCATCATCAGCAGCGACACATTCATCGTCAGCAGCATCACATTCATCATCAGCAGCATCACATTCATCATCAGCAGCATCACATTAATCATCAGCAGCATCACATTCATCATCAGCAGCATCACATTCATCATCAGCAGCAACACATTCATCATCAGCAGCATCACATTCATCATCAGCAGCATCACATGTATCATCAGCAGCATGGCATTCATCATCAGCAGCATCACATTCATCATCAGCAGCATCACTTTCACCATCATCAGCATCACATTAATCATCAGCAGCATCGCTTTCACCATCAGCAGCTTCACATTCATCATCAGCAGCATGGCATTCATCATCAGCAACATCACATTCATCATCAGCAGCATCACATTCATTATCATCAGCATCGCATTCATCATCAGCAGCATCACATTCACCATCAGCAGCATCAAATTAATCATCAGCAGCATCACATTCATCATCAGCAGCATCGCATTCATCATCAGCAGCATCGCTTTCATCATCAGCACTATCGCTTTCATCATCAGCAGCATCAAATTATCATCAGCAGCATCGCTTTCATTAGCAGCAGCAGCAGCAATAACACTGCCATCACAAAGATCGTTCCGATAATAATGTATTCCGTCATTATAATGACCCTTACACTCATCATCATCACCTCCAACATCACCATGATCATCACCACCACTACCATTATTCCCACCATTACCATCATCATCACCATCATCACCACAATCTGACTGAACACTGCCCAGACACAATACTGCCCATAGACTCAGCACTGCCCCACAGACTCAACACTACCCACAGACTCAACACTGCCCACAGACTCAACACTGCAGATAGAGTCAGCAGTGCCCACAAACTCAAGACTGCCCAGAGACTCAATACTGCCCACAAAGTCAATACTACCCACAGACTCAATATTACCCAGACTCAATACTACCCACAGACTCAATAATGCCGATAGAATCAGCTGGCAGCATAGACAAACACTGCCCATATACTCAACACTGCCCACAGACTCAACACTGCCCACAGACACAACGCTGCCCATAAACTCAGCACTGCACATAGACACAATACTACCCACAGACTCAACACTGCCCACAGACTCAACACTGCCCACAGACTCAACACTGCCCACAGACTCAACACTGACCACAGACTCAATACTGCCCATAGACTCAATACTGCCCATAAACTAAACACTGCCCACAGACACAACGCTGCCCATAGACTCAGCACTGCACCATATACTCAACACTGCTCACACACTCAATACTTCCCATATAATCAGCATTGCGCCATAGACTCAACACTGCCCATAGACCCAATACTGTCCATAGACTCAGCACTGCACCATAGACACAATACTGCCCATACACTCAATACTATCCACAGACTCAATGCTGCCGATAAACTCAGCATGGCACCATATACTCAACACTGCCCATAGACTCAGCACTGCTCATAGACTCAGCACTGCCCACAGACTCAACACTGCCCATTGAGCGATTGTGAACGCTACCGCCACCCCGCTCCCCCACCCCCCCCCCCCCCCCCCCCCCCCCACCAGCTCACCTTCCTTGTCATCCATCCTCTCGATGGCGTCCCGCGCGATGACGCCGGCGCTAAACCTCACTCGGCGGTGCCACCGCTCGGCGCGTCTCTTCCCCCTCGACGCTGCAGCCGCCGCCGAGGCCGCCACCGTCGCACCCGGCCCTCCGGCCGCCCCACGCACCACGCTGCCACTGCCGCCATCGTCCTGCACCGAGTGCCGTCTAAGAGCCGCAATCGAAGTGAGAACGGCGGCATTTGGCGCGGTGGTTGCCACGCGGACTCGCGTGGACAGCGCCGGGACCTCCTGGTGGGACTGCTGCGGTGGCGGCGGCGGTGACGGCGGAGGCGGCTGCGGCTGGTCCCTCTCTCGCTGGTTGTAGGCACGGAGCTGCTCCGAGCGGAGCCGCTTGACGATCCGCTGGCGCTGGCTCGGAGGCAGCGAGTCAAGCAGCCTCTGGTCGATTTCCATGTCGCAGGCGTTCAGCGCCTGGCACAGCTGCAGGCAGCCTGACCCAGCCAGCAAGCCGGACAGAGAGACAAAGAGAGGCAGAGAGAGACACAGAGAGAGAGTGACCGACACGTGTCCGAGGGTGATGATGGCACGGGTTTGAACGCAGCATGAGACCGAGGGTGACGGTGGAGGCGTTTCACCGTGCCCATGGACTCAACACAACCCACAGACTCAACACTGCACCAGTGACTCAGCACTGCACAATAGACCAAAACTGCACCACAGACCAACACTGCACCACAGACCAACACTGCACCATAGACCAACACTGCACAACAGACCAACACTGCACCATAGACCAACACTGCACCATAGACCAACACTGCACCATAGACCAACACTGCACCACAGACCAACACTGCACCATAGACCAACACTGCACCATAGACCAACACTGCACCACAGACCAACACTGCACCATAGACCAACACTGCACCACAGACCAACACTGCACCACAGACAAACACTGCACCATAGACCAACACTGCACCATAGACCAACACTGCACCACAGACCAACACTGCACCATAGACCAACACTGCACCACAGACCAACACTGCACCACAGACCAACACTGCACCACAGACCAACACTGCACCATAGACCAACACTGCACCATAGACCAACACTGTACCACAGACCAACACTGCACCACAGACCAACACTGCACCACAGACCAACACTGCACCATAGACCAACAGTGCACCACAGACCAACACTGCACCACAGACCAACACTGCACCACAGACCAACACTGCACCATCGACCAACACTGCACCACAGACCAACACTGCACCATCGACCAACACTGCACCACAGACCAACACTGCACCATCGACCAACACTGCACCACAGACCAACACTGCACCATCGACCAACACTGCACCATAGACCAACACTGCACCACAGACCAACACTGCACCACAGACCAACACTGCACCACAGACCAACACTGCACCACAGACCAACACTGCACCATCGACCAACACTGCACCATCGACCAACACTGCACCATCGACCAACACTGCACCACAGACCAACACTGCACCACAGACCAACACTGCACCACAGACCAACACTGCACCACAGACCAACACTGCACCACAGACCAACACTGCACCATAGACCAACACTGCACCATAGACCAACACTGTCTGTGCGTCCGCACCGGGCGGTCGGCTGTGGCCGAGCCTCCCCCCGCGCTCTCGTTGCTGCCGCTCTTTTTCGCTCTCTCGAGGCCAGTTTCCACCGTGCTCCCATCCGCCTCCAGACACCATCCACGCGACCCCTGGCCAACTTCAGCGCCCTCTCTGTTGTTTCAGGTCGCGTGCGTTGTTAAACCCTCCCCCGCCTGACGTAACTGAACAAATTAAATTGCCGTGTGTGCACGGCTTCGTGACCTGCAGTCACTCGATACTCGCTCGGAGTGATTTCATAATCGGAGGCGATCGATGATTTTGGGCGCTCGCGCACGGCATTCATGCAGCCGTGTCAGGTGGCGGAGGTGCTTACGAAAACGGATTAATCTAAGATCATGAAGGTGACCCAACGCCAAATGCTCTTACAAATCGGAGCGGCGTGCACCTAGGCCGGCTGTTGAAGGCAGTTTGGAACGCTCACTGGTGATGGCAGACGTGAGCGGGAATTAAACTTGGGTCGGCGGGTTTGTGGTGCAGTGAGCCAACCTGCAGTGCCACCGGTTGGCAATCAATACAATACAACAAGGACAAAGATCTCCCGTGTAGCTTGTCTTGGACTGTTTGGGCAAGCGCTGTTAGGCCGAGAAGATACACGAGGGGGTGGGTGGCCAGCACCATGCCCGGCCGCCTTTGTCTCCCCAGTGGCGATGTTTACAGACCACACCAGGTTCTAATTTGAGGCTGAGTCGACCTAGGGGAGGCCCAAGACCGGTTCAGATAATCGTCAGTGGTGTTGGTCATGAGCGGGAATCGAACTCGGGTCGCTGGTCTCGCAGCGTGCCAACCGATGCACGACCACACACGACACACATGGACTTGTATACAACGGTACATAACAACAACAGCCACCATTCACTACTCGTGGTGGTGACGTCACCACGGCGCTTGTGCCAGGCGAGGTGCATGTTGAGGCCACGTGAAGTGCAGAAGGCTCACTGGCAGGTCAAGGTACTGACCGAGATGACTGGCAGATGCAACGACTGTGTTGCCTACTGTGCCAACTTCCAGCGTTCTATCTGCCCGCCCGGCACTCGTTGTTCTGAGCGTCGCTCCTCTACCCTCCGTTGTTGTTGCCTCCGACTGCCCAGCAGCTTCCTTAAAAGGAGACTCTCCTCCGCAGAGGCCGATCTTGACACCGCTGGTAACAGCCATCAGCAGGTCCAACCGGCTCCACATATTCCTGGACCACATCAGTTCCGTCTCTTCTCTAGCACTGGGGTAGGCAACCTGTAGCCAGCACGCGGCGGCTCTTTAGCTGCCCCCTGGCGGCTCTTTGGCTGTCCCTTGCGGGCAGCAGCCGTTCGTTTAAAAAATATCTGAAACGTTATAGAACGTGAAGATAATGGAATAAATATGGCAGGGAATGGGGTCACCATGAACTGGCTTGGTAGCAACAACAAAACTTACAACAGCCAAAGAATAACTAAGTGGAGGTAAACGAAATAGACACCAGGTTATTCAATCACCCATTTAGTTTGAGTCACAATGTGTGTCGTTATTGTCGTTGTTGTTGTTGCTGTCAACCCAACGCTGCTCTGTTGGGGTCACAAACGGCTCTGCTGCATCGCGGCTCTCCAACTATTTTGGTCGAAGACAAAAACCCAAAATAAACGTCTCTCGATCTTCTACGTCTTCATCTTCTTCTTCCTCCTTGAACAGTTGCCGACCGCTGCTCTAGCCCATGCCGTGCCCATTTAGCCGCCTCGATCCAGACAAACCGAAACTGCTTTGGGCATGCGGTGGCAGGGCTTGGGGGCTGCATGAGCCAGCCGCCAGGGGGTGGATGCCAAAACCACGCCCGTCATACTTTTGTCTCCGCAACACTGATGTCTGTCTACACAACCACACCGGGTACTCGTTTGAGGCACAGTTGATCTAGGGGATGCCCAAGACCAATTCAGATAATCGTCAAAGGTGGTGGCCATGAGTAACGTTGACCGGTTCAGTGATTTGTCACCGATGTTGGTCGTAAGTGGCTTTATAGCTCAGTGCGCTGACCACAACACTGTCATTCCTCAAGGTACATTAAACTAAAAACGAAACTATCTTTGATTTTACCAGATAAGGCCCCACTGAGCTATGTAGCTGTTTTTCAGAGGCGACCTGGCTATCACAAACTACAGCTCAACTTAGACGCTTGTCATCATCATCATCTGGAAATGTATAGCATCCAAATACTCTGAACACGTGACGTCAAATCTAAATGTGGAGGGAAAAATACATTTGACCACGGGGAGAGACGCTGAAACTCCAAATATGCAGCAGGCGTCAGGGTCGGGATCGAACCCACAAACTCCTGTATAGCAGGCGAGGTAGTTAACATCTCGCCACCGTGGCGCCCTACACAATCGCATCCCCTAAAACTCGCACATACACACATGCAGACCAGTGCAAAAACCACACATGCTCACACACTCACATGCTCCTCACACAGTCCCAGGCGCGTAATTCACGCTCGCCCACACACAGGGAGAGACCAGCCTCAATAACAGACTCTCCATGACCTCATGCCTTGGCTCGGAGTAAATGCGAGCCATGGAGATCCTGCGTCTCTCTCTCTCTCTGAGCAATGGAGACCCTCTATCTCTCTGAGCCATGGAGAGCACGTGTCTCTCTCTCTCTCTGAGCCATGGAGACCCCGTGTCTCTCTCTCTCTCTGAGCCATGGAGACCCCGTGTGTCTCTCTCTCTGAGCCATGGAGACCCCGTGTGTCTCTCTTTCTCTCTGAGCGATGAAGAGTTGGAGACCCTGTGTTTCTCTCTGAGCCATGGAGACCACGTGTCTCTCTCTCTGAGCCATGGAGACCACGTGTCTCTCTCTCGGAGCCATGGAGACCACGTGGCTCTCTCGCTCACTTGGAGACTCCCTCAGGTTTAACAGAACAGTGTCTCCTTTGCACAATTCATGCAAAAATTATCCCTCTCCTCTCTCCTACCTCTCCCCTCTCATCTCACTCCACTCCTCCCCATGCACTCACCTGCCGCTCCTGTTCACACGCACACACACGCGTACACACACACACACGTATACACACGCACACACACGCAGACACACGTATACACACGCAGACACACATACACAAAGACAAAGATCCCCCAGTATAGCCTTAACAGTCTGTTGGGGCAAGTGCTGTTAACCAACACCCATGAAGGCCGGCACGGCACACAAAGGGGTGGGTAGCCAGTACCATGCCCGGCCGCCTTTGTCTCCCCAGTGGCGATGTTTTACACACCGCACCAGGTACTCATTTGAGGTTGAGTCGACCTAGGGGAGGCACAGGACCGGTTCAGATAATCGTCACCGGTGTTGGCCATAAGTGGGAATCGGACTCGGGTATTGGGATTTGTAGTGCAGTGCGCTAAACGCTACACACACGCATACAAACACACACACACACGCATACACACACACACGCATACAGACACACACACACACACGCATACATACACACACATACATACAAGTATTCACACACGAATACATACACACGTGTGTGTGTGTATGTATTTAATCAATGTGAGCGGCCCCTCCCCCGTCCCCTCAGTCCGATACGCTCCGCTACCTGCGTTGCCATGGAAACCAGCATGTCGTTGCTAAGCAACCGTGATGGAGCCCTGTGCTCACTGTACACCCCCTCACCTCTGCTCACCTTCCCTCATCTTGCACCTCACCATCTCTCCCCTCACCATCTCTCACCTCACCATCTCTCCCTCACCATCTTTCCCTCACCATCTCTCACCTCACCATCTCTCCCCTCACCATCTCTCCCCTCACCATCCTCACCATCTCTCCCTCACCATCTCTCCCCTCACCATCTCTCCCCTCACCATCTCTCACCTCACCATCTCTCCCCTCACCATCTCTCCCCTCACCATCTCTCCCCTCACCATCTCTCCCCTCACCATCTCTCCCCTCACCATCTCTCCCTCACCATCTCTCCCCTCACCATCTCTCCCCTCACCATCTCTCCCTCACCATCTCTCACCTCACCATCTCTCCCCTCACCATCTCTCCCCTCACCATCTCTCCCTCACCATCTTCCCCTCACCATCTCTCCCCTCACCATCTCTCCCTCACCATCTCTCCCCTCACCATCTCTCCTCTCACCATCTCTCCCTCACTCACCATCTCTCCCTCACCATCTTTCCCCTCACCATCTCTCCCTCACCATCTCTCACCTCACCATCTCTCACCTCACCATCTCTCCCCTCACCATCTCTCCCCTCACCATCTCTCCCCTCACCATCTCTCCCCTCACCATCTCTCCCCTCACCATCTCTCCCCTCACCATCTTTCCCCTCACCATCTCTCACCTCACCATCTCTCCCCTCACCATCTCTCCCTCACCATCTCTCCCCTCACCATCTCTCCCCTCACCATCTCTCACCTCACCATCTCTCCCCTCACCATCTCTCACCTCACCATCTCTCACCTCACCATCTCTCCCCTCACCATCTTTCCCCTCACCATCTCTCACCTCACCATCTCTCCCCTCACCATCTCTCCCCTCACCATCTCTCCCTCACCATCTCTCCCCTCACCATCTCTCACCTCACCATCTCTCACCTCACCATCTCTCCCCTCACCATCTTTCCCCTCACCATCTCTCACCTCACCATCTCTCCCTCACCATCTCTCCCCTCACCATCTCTCCCTCACCATCTTTCCCCTCACCATCTCTACCCTCACCATCTCTCCCTCACCATCTCTCCCCTCACCATCTCTCCCCTCACCATCTCTCACCTCACCATCTCTCACCTCACCATCTCTCCCTCACCATCTCTCACCTCACCATCTCTCCCTCACCATCTCTCACCTCACCATCTCTCACCTCACCATCTCTCACCTCACCATCTTTCCCCTCACCATCTCTCCCCTCACCATCTCTCCCTCACCATCTCTCTCCCCTCACCATCTCTCCGCTCCCCGAGGCGATGCTGAGGGGCCAGACGCTGGCTCACAGCAACCACTCCACGCCCGCTCCTCACCGACTCACTCGGGCAGCCACCCCGGGCCCTCATCCTGCTACCTCCTCCTATACCCCCCCCCCTCTCCAACCTCATCGGCTTCTACTCCCCCTCTCGCTCACCACCCTCTCCACTCACTTCTCTCTTCATCACCACCAGCCCCCTCTCTCTCCCCCCTCTCTCTTTGTCTCTCCCTCAATCACTCCCTCTCCTCCCTCTCCCGCCTCTCGGTTCCCAGATGTCATTCCCCGACGACGACGGCGATGGCGATGGCCGTGTCCCAGCGATTGAACCCCCGGCTCGCCTCATCCATCGCGCAAATCCGCTCACCACGGTGCCACCGTTCCCCACTCACTCACATACACAAAGACAAAGAACCCCCGTGTAGTCCGCACACAGACTGTTTGGGGCAAGTGCTGTCAGCGTGTACACACTGACACAAAGACAAAGATCCTCCCGTGTAGTTTGAACAGACTGTTGGGGCAAGTGCTGGTACCCATCTCAGCCCGGGTCTCATGAGCCGAGTGAGGCGTTGGTTAAACACAAGAAGATGATGATGATGATGATGCTGCTGGCCGATGTCTCGAAGAGAGCACGGCGTGGGGTGGCGAGGGGGTGCAGAGGGGATACAAAGGGGGCGAGGGTGGAGGGGTCCCTAATTATGGGGTCTCCACGCTTCCCGTCGCTGCATCAGGGAGATGTGGGTTCATTGTGCGTATGTACGTGTATGTGTACGTGTATGTGTACGTGTGTGTGTACGTGTGTGTGTACGTGTGTGCACGTGTATATGTGCACGCGTGTGTGTGTGTGTGTGCACGCGTGTGTGTGTGCACGCGTGTGTGTGTGTGCACGTGTGTGTGTGTACATGTGTATAGTAGGGCTGAGCACGCTCGAGTTCGATTTCCGCTCAAGGCCAACATCGGTGACGAATATCTGGAACAGTCCTGGGCCTCCCCTAGGTCGTCTCAGCCTCAAATGAGTACCTGGTGCGGTGTGTAAACATCGCCACTGGGGAGACAAAGGCAGCCGGGCATGGTGCTGGCCACCCACCACCTCGTGTGCGATGCTGGCCTTCATGGGTGCTAGCTAACAGCACTTTCCCCAACAATTTTGTGTGCTGCTGCGTCTTTGTCTTTTGTGTATGTCCATTTGGGTGTCTATCTGTCCGTCTCTGTCTGTGCGTCTGTATATCGGTGTGCCGCTACATCTGTCAATGTGTCAATGCACACGTCCTTGTGTTTGACCACTCATTCGTCTGCGCTTCGATCTGTCCGCGTGTCCATCAGTGCGATCCGTCCATGTGCATCACCGTGCGCCCGTCCATCAATGTGTCCATCGATTTGCGCGTGAGTTTGTCCGTCCACCCATAACGTGTCCCTGTGTCTCTCCATCAACCCATCCATTGGTCCTTCCCTTTATGTATCCGTCTGGCTGTCTGTGTGCGTGTACGTAGTTCACTTGCCTGTCCTGTCCATTCGTCAAACGGTCGACCTGCGTGTCACTATGGGTCTGCGTGTCCGTGAGTCTGTGAATCCGCGTGCATGTGAGTCCGCGTGTCTGTGAGTCCTACCCGCAGTGCTGGGGCAGAGTCCGCAGAGCGAGGCGGCTCGCTCCAACCACCGTGCGTCCATTGCGAAAACAGAGACAGCGAAGTGGAGACAACGGAGCAGAGACAACGGAGCGGAGGAATCCTCCAGCACCGCACGCAGAACAGGCGAGCTCCACGGAGCTCCCTCGCACTCCCCCGCCCTCTCTCTTGATCTCTCTCCCTCGATTATTTTCTCTCTTCCACCTCTCTCTGACTCTCTCTCTCTCTCTACACCTCTTTCTTTCTCTCTCTTCCCTCTCTCCTACTGCCTGTGTCCTCCCTCCCACCCCACGCTCTCACTCTCCCCACGGGGAGGGAGCGGAAGGGAGGGGGAGAGTGAGCGCATTCTCCCCTCCCTCTCTCTCCCCCTCTCTCTCTCAATTGCGACAAGGACTGGAGGAGAGGAGTGGGAGAAGCGGTGGTGACGGTGGAGTCACCTGGGCTAGGGGGATGAGGGGAGGGGGAGGAGGGGGTGGTGGGAGAGAGACACTCAGACACTTAGGTAGAGAGTGAGACAGGGGAAGTGAGTGAGAGTGAGACAGGGGAGTGAGTGAGAGACTCAGGTAGAGAGTGAGACAGGGGAGTGAGCGAGAGAGAGACTCAGGTAGAGAGTGAGACAGGGGAGTGAGAGAGAGAGACTCAGGTAGAGAGTGAGACTGGGGGTGAAAGTGGTGATGTCACCAGGTAACTATGCCGGCTCTGGGCTGAGCTTGGAATCCCTGCCCACCCACGCTCTCTCCCCAACGCCACGGCAATGCGGAGTGCGGGCAGCCCTCGGTCGAGCCCTCGAGTCGTCCTCGGGGTGCCCTCGGGGAGCCCCGAGGGAGCTCTCGGGGAGACCTCGGGGAGCTCTCGGGGAGCCCCAGCGGAGTCAGTCGATGCCCTCTGGCGCTCCGGCCGGGAGGGGGGGCCCAACCGCAGAGACGATATTGGGGGGTCGCCATCTCAGCCCTGCCAGCAGTGGCTCACAGCAGGAATGGACACACTCTCGCTCACGCACGCTAACGCTCGTTCACTCGCACACGCTCACTCACTCACTCACACACGCTCACCTCGCAAACACACGCTCACTTGCACACTCACACACCGACAGCTTCCAGAGCCTGGGACTCGCACGGAGACCCGCAGACTCGTTGGGACACTCGCAGCCCCGTAGACTCACCGACTCGCATCATACAGACCCACAAGAGATTCACAGACTCACAGCCCCGTAGACTCAGAGACTCACATCATAGAGACCCACACACAGACTCACAAACTCACAGCGCCGCAGACCCACAGACTGATTGGTGGTCGCGGGTTGCTCAGGAGATGGAGTCTGCCTCAATGGCCCGCGATCACAAATCGCTCTTTAATTCCATCAAAATGTAACCTGCAGCGCCACACCTATTACCATCATTGGGGGAAAGAACGGTGATACAATCTCTGACCCTCAGGAACAGGTTAGCAGATTTGCTGAGCATTTCTGTCTTGGGGGAGGGGAAATCCCTCAGCCTGGAAAACATCATGGGACAAAGTGGTGATGACCCTGCTGAGGCGGCGGTGCTTCAAATATGGGAAGAAGAAGTCACCCCCTGTGCGTGGCTGGCTGAGGTACCATCTGTTGAGGAAGTACTGAAGGCGATTCAGAGCCTGAGACCAGGAAAGGCACCGGGCAGAGATGATCTCCCAAGCAAAATGCTGAGGGAGGGTGCCCTACATGAAATCATAACAACAGTCTGAAGCACTGGATGGGTTCCGCAGGATTGGAAGGATGCCCTGGTGGTCCCCCTCTTTAAAAAGGGGGATCGCACAGACTGTAACAACTACATGGGCATCTCACTCCTCAGTGTGCCGGGAAAGGTCCCGGCAAGGATGATTCAACATCGCCTTGCCAGGCATGCTGAGGAGAGGCCAATGTGGTTTCAGGAAAGGGTGGTACTGCACAGATGCCATATTTTCTGTCCGTCTGCTACAGTAGAGGTGTAGGGAATTCCAAAAAGACCTCTGCTTTATTGACCTGGTCAAGGCCTATGATGCCATCAGTAGACCTGGGCTCTGGGTTGTTCTTCATGCTTTTGGAATCCCTGACCCGCTGCTCACGATCATTAAGTACCTTCATGATGGTGAGCGGGCCCGGGTAAAACTACGTGGCCGGGAATCAGAGCCATTCCCTGTACACTTGGGGTGCGACAGGGATGTTTGTGAAGTCTTTGATGGCTGTACCAGAGGAATTTCCATCTGGTACAGATACAGTGGGGGGTTGATCAATGCCCGGGTGTGGTCAAGGGATGGCTCCCTATTGCTCAACCATGTTATGTATGCCGATGATCTGGTAATTGCAGTCGACTCCTGTCCCCTGCTGAACATCGCTATCGCATCACGCCCAGGGAGTTACTGGCCATGGTTCATTTCATCCAGCTCTATCGTCGGGACTTTGTTTTTCGCACAAACCATGTGGCCCTCCAGTACTCCCTGAGCATCGACCAGCCCAATGGCTCGAAATCTTCCAGGGTTTCTCATTCAAAGTTATGCACAGGAAAGGCACTTGACACGTCAACGCTGACGCCTTCTCCCACTTGCCGCCCCATGTCACGTGCACGTGTGCCTCGGGGTCGTCACAATGTAAGCCATCGCATGAGGATGCGCCCGCGGTGCTGGTGGCAGCCGGGACAACGCGGGATGAAGGCGCTCAGTCGCCACGCGATTCTGTTTTGAATCTTAATAATAATAATGCAATTTATAACGTGCACAAATTTGCGGACCTAACAGCCGCAACTCAGAGGCGCGCAGCCAGCTCAGAGTCACTCGAAAGCGTGGGTGTAGAGGTAAGTTTTTAAGTGTCTCTTGAAGGAGACGATTGAGGTGATGCTGCGAATGTGCAGAGGGATTGCATTCCAGACTGTTGGGGCAGCCACCGAGAAGCGGCGCATAGACGTGACCGTCCTGGATCTAGGTATCAAGAGGAGGTCGTAAGTCACACTGTGAAGGGATCTGCCATGTGCTGTGCTGCAAGTCATTCATAATGAAGACAAGTACGGAGGGCAGAGAGCTGTGAAGGCATGGTGGAAGAGTCAGGCGATCTTGTATGTGACCCTGCTGGCAATGGGTTACCAGTGGAGGGCACGGAGACAGGCAAGCGAGTCGAAACGGGGATAAGTGTGGCCAATGATGACGCGTGCCAGGTTGTTTTCTAGTCTTTGAAGTTTTTTTAGGTTGCCAGAGGATGACCGGACTAGGACGAAGTTGCAATAGTCGAGGTGAGAACCAACTATACAACATGCCAATGTGGTGGCAGTTTCAGTGCAGATGAGAGGATGTAGGTGTCTGAGAGCCTTCAGGTGAAAGTTACATGAACTGATTATACGATTGGTTTGATGATCGAAGGATAAAGTTGAATCTAGAATGACACAGAGGTAGCTGAAGTGATCGGTGAACCTGATGCTGGGACCAAAGATGTGTATGTGTGTTGGGAGCACGGATGAGCTGAGACGTTGCCTGGTACCTAAGATGATGGCCACTGACTTTGACGAATTAAGGGCAAGGTGGTCCATGGAGAACCACTGTTGCAGGGCAGTGGTGCATTCCGAGAGCCTCTGAAATCCAGACGCATTGGTAGAATTGATGGCGGAGAACAGAATAGTATCATATACATATGAGTGGTGCTTGACACCGAAGCTTGCGATGAGGCGGGCGATCAGGGAAGTGTAGGCTGTGAACAGAAGGGGACCGAGGACGGAGCTCTGCGGGACGCCACATAATGCTTTTGTTTCGGGAGATGTGGACAAGCCCACTCTGACTGAGGATTGCCGATCAGAAAGGTACGACAGTATCCACTTGAGTGCTGAACCACATACACCAAAGTCGGATTTCAGGAGGGAAGTAAGGAGCGAGTGGTTGATGGTGCCAAAGGCTGATGAAATGTCCAGACTTACAAGAGCAACGATGGAGCCGGAGTCAATAATCATTAAAATGTCATCAAGTACTCTGGTGAAAACTGTTTCTGTGGAGTAGTTTTGACGGTAAGCCGACTGGAAGAAGCAGTAGTTTGGGGAGGAGGTGATGTGGGGTTTTAGCTGGGCAAGGGCGAGTCTTTCTAGAAGTTTAGAGAGGTTCGAGAGATTAGTGGTGGGATGATAGCTAGACGGGTCATCAGGGTCGAGACTTCGTTTCTTTAACAGGGGGGAAACCAGGCCAGATTTGAGGTAGGACGGAAAATACCTCAGTAGAGAATGAGGCATTTGCGATGTTCCTGATCATGATGGCGAGTTCCGGAGCACATTGCTTGAACAAGGAACCTGGGACGACGTCGAGTGGAGACGATTTCATATGAAGTGATTGAATCACAGAGGAAACGTCTTTTGAAGACACCGGCTTGAACGTGGTTAGAAAGGTATCTGGTTGAGTAGGGTATGATGGTGCGATGTGAGGGAAGATGTGCAGGAGTTTGCGATGGTCATCAGCTTGTTGGTGAAGTAAGCTTTGAAAGAGGTGGCAAGTTTCAGTGATACCACTAAGGTGAGGGACCATGTTGCTACCAGGATGTAGAAGATCCTGGAGGGTTTTCCAAAGGATGCGTGGTTTTCCGGTAGCTGTTTTGATGCGTTCTTCAATGTAGGAGGAACGTGAGGCAAGAATAAGGTCGTTAGTTTTCCTGCAGGCAGCTCTGTAGGCAACTCGATCAGCCAGAAGACCACTGCTGGATGTGATCCTTTCAAGGCGCCTCCTGATTCGCTTAGCAAGGATGGCGTCTCTTGAGAGCCAGCGAGCAGTTGTGGGAAGGCTGCCTAGTGATTCGTGGTATTTATGGTGCCAGCTTGTCCAGCACCACCCTCAGGTCAGCTTCTAGCTGAAGAGCGCAGACAGTTGGATCAGATGATGGGGATAACATTGAAGGCGAATTTGCAAGGAGGTGCTGTAAAGTGGAAAACTTGATAACCTTGAAATTACGGGAGTGGTGGGTGATTTTAATGGTGATTGGCTTGGGAATTTTAAGGAAAAATAGGATGCGGTGGTGGTATGAGTAACCAGTTTGGAAAACTCTCAGTGCAGTGATGTGTCGATCCTGGTCAGGTTCCAGAACCAGGTCGAGCATACTCTCAACATTGTTGAGGAAGCTCTGGTGAGGCCTGAGTTGGTGATGACCAGGTTATGACAGGCCAAGGTTGACTCGAGGTGGCCATCAATGGAGGCTGGGGTATTGCCGGGGCAGTTAAAGTCTCCAGTAAGCACGATCCTGTGAGATGGGTTAGGAATGAGGTAAAGAAATTCGGAAAGCTAGTTTAAGAAGGTAGTAATGCTGCCATCTGTAGGGCGATAGATGGAAATGAGGAAAAATCACTCAGTGTTAGTAGTGAGGGACACGGACTGGACCTCAAAGATGGCGGGAGACATCGGTAGAGAGAGCTCTTTAATTTTCAAGTGAGCATTGTTGACGACCGCTAAGTCACCACCCCCCTGGTTAGTTGCGCGAGGTTTGTGAAGAA